AACGGATGCCATGTGATTTCCTAATTGCCCAGCAATTGAATCAAGATCTATCCCTGCCTTGAGCTTCTGGTAAGAAGTGAGCAGTGTTCAGAACAACAAATAAGCATTTTATGTAGAGAAAGATTTCTTTCAGTTTGAAGGCATGTCACAAAAGCACTCCTACTTACAGACTTGACTCCAAAAGCTTAGGTCATCATCTCAGACGCGTATCGAATGGCAAGGTATGCTTAAACTCTTCTTTGCCTGGTGTAAAGTAGTGGTAAATTTCTCCTAGAATTAGTTTGTGGTGCTGGAGGCCAGCATTCCCATTCCTTTAATTAGATTTTCAGCTCTGATCACTGATAGGGTCCTTGGAATTGAAATCGTAACTCTGTGTTGGTAACAGCTACAGGAATCTGTATTTGGATGTCAATAATGAAGAATCCTATTGTAAAGTGACCTTTTGGTGGCCTCTTCCTCACATGGCTTTATAAATAGAGGGGACCAAAGACAGTACAGTTTATATTACTTTTCTTTACATAACATTAAAAAAAATTTTCAGATCTTCAGAGTGCAAATAAGTGAAAACTGATTATATATTTAGGTCTGAGTGTATTGAGAGGTGAGAGAAAATGTGTAAATTTCTCAGGTCATTTTTCAAGATAAGTATAAAAGTTTTTAATTCTTAGCCAAGTCTGTTTTCAAGTACAGTATATTTCACCTGAAAGGCTAAGCAGCAGGACAAAAACTTATAAAAAAAATTGTTTAGTTTCTGAAAAAAAAGTGCATTTTTATGAGCAAAGGCTGAGTTCCATACTCTTGAATTGTGCCTAGACCTTCCTACTCTTACTTGCCAAAAGTTTTTCCTATCCCAGATCATCTTTATAGCAGTACAATCCTGTTATTTGTGATACTAACCATAAATGAAAAATAAGCAAACTCCGGGAGACAGGGAAGGACAGGGAAGCCTGGTGTGCTGCAGTCCATGGGATTGCAAGGAGTCAGACACGACCGAGTGACTGAATGACAACAAAACCATAAATTGATTGCTGGTTGATATTAAGTTTTGATAATCTAAAAATCAGATCTTCTTCTCAGAGGGGCCTAAGGAACTGATTTGAAATTTAACTGTAGTCATCTAGAGATCTGTTTTTGAGCAGCTTTTTAGTGCATCACTGTACTGTTTCCTAGATTCCCATCCAATTCAATAGAGGGAGTGACTAAATTGTAGTCATCCTAGTTCTGAGCACGTTGGCGAGAAGAAAGTAGTTAAACATCTTGCTGTGTGTGAGCAGGTCGAGGGCAGGCAGACACCATGCACCTTGACCACCTATTATGAAGCTTTTTGCTGCTGTGTCAAGTGAAAGCGAGTTAATTGGGTGAAGCTGTGGAGCATGTTAGGGGCCTGGTTGAGGGTTGCTGTCTGACAGCTGAATGTCAGCCAAAGCCAGTCAAGTGTAGCTGAGAGACAGAGACCTGTCACAAAGTTCCCGCAGACTGGAGCACAGTTAGGGAGCTGAAATATGGTTCCGTCTCACTTTCTCCCTCATTGAATCCAAGCACCTTAAAAGATTTTCCACTGTATGTGTCAACTCTTGTTCTCTAAGCTGTTTCCCAGAACTGTCCTGCATTCAAATGATTGAACAAAAGATGCTAATGTTTAGCAAAGTGAATGTAAATTCCCTCTTTTCCCCTTTTCTGCCCAAGCAGATAGACATTCAACTCAAAGGAAACTTTGAAGGTTTACATCAAACAATTAGATTGCCTCCAAATTTAGCTTATAATAGAATCCTTTTCTCAAGAGAGTATAAAAATTGGAAATTTAAGCAGGAGAATAAGCAATGCATCTTTCTCTGATACAGCAAATCTAGGTCACGAGAACTAGGATTCCGGCCTGGGTGTCTTGTGGATGGACACTTGCCGAGATAACTGTCCTCTTGTCTTTTTGTCACAGACAGACTTCTTTACTTTCAGAGCAGCCTAAGGGGAAATGCTTTAATGACACTCTCCAGGTGGAGAAAAATAAACACAGAAAGGAACAGTGAGAATCCTTCTGAAACTTGGAACACTTTAGAAAGGAAAAATCAGAGAAAGTTAGAATTAAAGAATGAAAATTAAACATTGTGAAATAAAAATATTTTTCAGAGAGAACAGTTTAATATCAAATCATGTTGGCTTTCTTTGGAATATGGATTAGAAGCAGTGTATTCAGTCAAAAATAAGCAAATATATGGTGTTCCTGTGATCTACTGGTCACTGGTCAAGCCACTGGCTTCCCAGGTAAAGAACTCACCTGGCAATGCGCAAGTTGCAGGTTCGATCCCTGGGTCAGGAAGATCCCCTGGAGAAGGCCATGGCAACCCGCTCCAGAATTCTTGCCTGGAGAATTCCATGGACAGAGGAGCCTGGCAGGCTTACAGTCCACGGGTTACAAAAGGGTTGGACATGACTTAGTGACTAAGCAGCGGCAAGCCAAGCCAATGGTAATGCTGAAACAAACACAGATAAAATAGCCTGTGCCTCCAAGGAAGGAACACTCCATGCCGGCTCTGACCGTTGTGACTTACTGTGATGGTGGAGTCATGGCTGTTGAATGTGTGGAGGACAGTTAGTGTGACTGAGGAACTAAATTTTAATTTTACATGAAATTCAATTTTAATTAATTTAAATTACTTACATATGGTCAGTGGCTACTACATTAAACAGCACAGGCTGAAGCACACAGCAGACTGTGATGCTGTGCCCTTATAAAAGCAGCGGTGTGGGGTGTCTGGATAACGCCAAGAAGGGGCTTGTAACCCAACTGTAGGGGGGCTGGATTCAGGGAAGGTTTGAGGGCAAGGTGATACCTGAGGTGAGTTGTGAGAATCTGATGAAGAAGTCTCCTTTTAAATAGAAAAAGCCTCCTTTTAAATAGAAAAGGCTGCTTGAAGAAGAGAACCTGAGCTAGGAGAAGGCAGGGCTTGCTTCAGGATCAGCATTTTGATTAATCTCAGGGACAAAGGAGTCTATGGGAGATTGTCTTAACGTAATGGTAGCCTCCAAGGACTCTAGCAGGCAGGTTATCCCTGAACTCACAGAACAGGAGGTCTCACAGATGAAATTAGGATCCTCAAATCACATGGTTTCGCAGCTCAATCTAAAACACACAGCAAGAAGCAGATGGTAGGGAGGCAGCAGGGGGACAGACCCTACTCTCTGGTTACTTGCTTGTAAGGTGTTCAGATGGCCTCTCTCTAAGCTGCATCATCCTTCTCCTCATGAGGTTATGGGACCAAGGTGGAGCGCTGAGAAAGCTGGATGAGGTGACTGAAGATGCCTGGGTCCACTTATCCACACCTGTCTTGAGAAATACTCCTGGCCAGTCTCTGTAGCTTGCCACTTAGGCAGCCGGACCGCTTTGGGTTTTCTCTGTAGCTCTGGGGGCAGTTTGCCTGTGTTCTGTGCTTCAGTTGTGTCTGACTCTTTGCCACACTATGGACTGTAGCCCACCAGGCTCCTCTGTCCATAGGATTCTCCAGGCAAGAATACTAGAGTGGCTTGCCGTTTCCTTCTTCAGGGGATCTTCCCAACCCAGGGATCAACCCCACATCTCCTGTTTCTGCTGCATTGGCAGACAGAGTCTTTATTGGCTGAGCCATCGGGGGCAATTTGAGGATGACTTTACCCTGGAGGTGGTGCATCTCTCCCTCTTCCTTGTCTGTCTGGGAGTAGCCTGTCCTGCAGGGGACCAACTAATACTTTTTCCTATCATATAGATTCTGCTGCTTATCTCACATTACTGGCTGATTTCATTCTCTATGCTTAACACTTGTTATGAGTTACATCTGTTCTATTTTTTTCTTGTCTTCAAGAGAAAAGTTGAATATTCTCAGATAATAAGTAAATATACAATGAAGTAGAGGTCAAGTAGAAAAAAGAAGTCTGAAGGAATGACTTGCTTAGAAAAATTAAAAGTGCATTTGTAGACTAGAGAGAGTGACGAGACACTTGAATAACAGATGAACAATTTTAGAAAAGTGCTTTGAAACCTTTGTCAAAATTGTTATCTTGTGGCTACCCTTACCTGAGTTGAGTTTCAAACAAATCAAGGCCTTTGTGAAAAAGTGGTGTGCAGGCTCTTGGGGAGTTTATGTGACTGAAAGCCTTGGCGATGGTTGAAGGACAAGTGGAGGTTTTGTGGGCAGGTGGTCAGAGGAGGTGACGAGAAGTGGAGAGAACAGCATAGTTTTTCTCCTCTATGCGGGCCTATGGACTGGCTTCTGGTCTATGAGAAAAAGATGCCTACAGGTGGAAGCTGAAAGAAATGTTTTATGACAGACAGTGTGAGACACTGGGTTCCAGTCAGAGTTACCATAGGTTTCAGAGGGAAGAGTGGGTGTAGGGCTAGTCTGTGTAAAGATGGTGCTCATATCGCACAAGGAGTCTCTCTAATACTTTGGAGGCAGGGCCTGAAGGAAGGATGTCAGACACCCAGAAACTTTTGACAGGGAGTTTGAGGTCATGTGTGATCTGGTCAGGAAAGAACTAGGGAAATGTGACTCATTACTGGGACCTTGCTTGTGTCCATGGAACAATGAGTCTAGCAAACTCTTAAGTACTATTGTCCATCAAAATGTAATACTACAAAACAGCAGTTGTGTGGTTATAGAGTATTGAACAAATTATAATTTAAGAACTGTCTCCAAATACAGGTAGTCACAGACAAGGTGAACTCTCTAAAGGCAGAGAATTTTGGTGTGTAATTCACTTCTGTATCCCAGTACCGTGAACAGTGTCTGACACTTTTTAGGCAGTTTAGTTACTTCTTTGATTTTATCCTTTTTAGATATCTATTAAAAGAATTAGTGAGTGGAGCTAATTTAGGATCCTAATATAGTGAGTGTGGGTTTAGATGTGCTTTATGCTGTCTTGGGGAAAGTCTATCATATGGAACTGGTCATGTAGGGAGTAGGTTCTTGAAATGGAATCCATAGCTCTATTATTTTGGAATCTTGTGGTTGCTGCATTACTCTCACAGTTCTATAAGATGTTCTCCCTGGAGATGGGTTTGGTTTGAGACTGCTGGAAATGGCCTGGCTCTATCAGAAGCAGCATTCCTGCCTATCATGTAAAGGAAATGTCGTTGCCAGCTAAGTGGTTTGCTTTGGAACGTGTGCCCCAGCGCTTGTTGTGTTTGGAAGGCATTCCACAGATGTGAACCCCAGGTCACTGATTTGTCTTGCATCTGAAGGGTTCCTCTCTCACTGAGAAGCAGAGAGGCCACATTCTTTTAACTCAAGATAACCAGTCCCTCCAGAAAGGCCCAGCTGGGGCACCGGTCAAACGGTTAGTTTAGCAGCCCTGGGGAATATAGCACGGATCTCTTCGATGATCAGCAGGGGAATGAAGACTTTGCAACATCTCATGAAGAATGGCTGGGGACTTCAGATTTGATAAGGTGGAGTTACAAGGGAGTAGCATGGTTTAAACCAGCCCTGGAAGGGAGGGGCAGGGAAAAATGGGTTTCGACTTTTAACGTGTGAATTTATTGCTGATTTTGTTGAAATATGTGACTGACAGATACCATGTTAGTGAGATTAAGGAAAACCATCTCTTTCAAACAGCTTTCAATTTTAGATATTTCTTCCTTCTTCTGCTCTTTTTTACCTAAGTGCATGGGCGGTATTTCTACTCAGAGAAAAACATGCTGCTAAAAGGTCTAAGTTTATAGCTTCCAGATATTACTAAATTTTTGACATTGAATAAAAAAGGACTTATAACTTTAAGAGGAAATTCTTCAGTAATGAAAAAGTGGTCAGAAAACTTTTGCTTAATAGTTCCCAGAGAGAGTGTGACATGTGTGCGTTTTGACCACAGAAGTCGTAACTTGGCAGCAGGAGGTGCTCTTTGGAGTAAAATGAAGGCACACAGGTTGTAAGTAGCCACTCCACGTGAGGAGCTACGCTGGTACAGAGGTGCGAGTTACTCGCATGTGTGTGTACTTAATGTCAGGTGGTGGATAGGAGTTAGATAACTGGAAACGTTGAAGGAAGAAAGTGTTCTCAGCTAAATTAAAATCCGATTTTCAAAACTTGCGAAAACACTTGGTTCACGACCTCCCCTCTGAGACCTTTAACAAACCAATTACATTTCATTTTGACCACACAGTTCAGAGTCCTAACTATACTAGAATATGGGTTTCAGTATGTATAGAATTAGTCTTTTTCAATAAAGCAGTTTTAGTTGTAAAAGTGCTGTAGATAATTGGAAAATTCAGAAGCTTAGGGAAAAAATTCCTGCAGTCTCAATACCTCACAACAAGTATCATATGTAATTTTGTATCTCATTTTCATTTATATAGTCTTGCTCAAGGATGGGCAAAAGCACAGCCTGTGAACCAAATCTACTTGCCATCTGTTTTTGTATAGCCTGTAAACTAAGAATGGTTTTTACATTTTTAAATGTTTAAAAAATGAATTAAAAAAGAATAATATTTCATGATGTGAAAATTATGGTAAATTCAAATTTCGGTGTTCATTAATGCAGTTCTATTGGAACATAGCCACACTAATTCACTTACATGTATTATCTATAGTTGCTTTGGGGCTACAACAGCAGCGTTTAGTAGTTGCAACAGAGACATGTGGCTTGCAAAGCATGAAATATTTATCTGATCCTCAATAGAAAAAGTCTTCTGACCCCTGGTCAAGCCTCAGCATTTGTCTGTGTTCTACAACTATTTCTTAATATAACCACAAGTTTTATAGACATATAATATTCCATCAAGTGGCTAAAGCTTACTTAAATGTACTTCTGTTATTGAATATCAGATAATTTCTAATTTTTGTCTGTTATTAATATTAAGAAACTAATCATAAATGGAATTGTTGGGCCAAATGGCATTAACTATTTCAAGACAGTTACCAAGTTATAGTCCAAATGGTTTAATCAATTCATACATCACTAGCAATTTGTGAGTGCCTGTTTTTTAATGCCTTCACTAACATCAATTATCACAGTTTTTTAAATTGAATTTTGATTGGTAATAAACATCTCATTTCCCTTATATTTTTTATTACTATTGGCAGTTACCATTTTTCCCATTTGTTTGTTAATGAGTTGTATTTTGACTTTTGTGAACTGCCAGTTTAAAACCTTTGATTGTGATTCAGTAGTTTTAAAGATAAAAAAACACAGAAAGAAAACTTTGAACTTTGAGAGCTTTTCCTTTATAATACATACTCCAATTTATTCCCGTTTTCTATAAATAATTAGCAGTTTCTGTGATTCTCTTTCCAGAAAGAAGAAAAGGTATATATATATACATGTATGTGTTTATACATTTTTTTGGCTGCTCTGTGCAGCATGTGTGATCTCAGTTCCCCAACCAGGGATTAAACTCAAGCTCCTTGCGGTGGAAGCACAAAGTCCTAACCACTGGGCTGCCAGGGAATTCCTTGTACTTATTTGTGTATTTTTTTTTTAATACAAATGGGTTCTTTCTCTTTATATACACACACAGACACGTGCACGCATGCATGTGAGTGCACATGAGCATGCACTGTTTTGAATCTTACTTCATTTGGATGTATTTCTACATCAGTACTTACATATTTATATCAGTTTACAAAATTGTTGTATGACATGATTGTATCATACTTCACTTAACACTTCAGTTTCATTTAAAAAGTGTTTCTCTAAAAGAATCCTTTGATGAATACATCTGTATGCTCATCTTGTTGAGCTTCTGTGGGTGTAGCCCTAAGAAGAAGTCTCCAACAGTGGAATTGCTGAATCAGGAACAGGTGCAATTTAAGTTCTGTCTTCCCAAAAGTTTGCACTAGAGTACAGCCCAGCCTACGTGTAGGAACTTGCCTGTTTCCCTCTCTTAGCAGTGGGTTTCATCAGACATCTTAATTTGGGCTATTTTATAGGCAAAAAGTAAGCTTTCATTGTCACGTTTTGTGTTGTGTTTCTTTCATTGTGAATGAGGTTTACCTCTTTTTTATATGTTTATTGGTTACTGTATTTCTCTGTCGTCCACCAAGCAGCCAATGTATATCTGAGGTGGAGGCTGTCAGTGGTTTCCTGACCTCTTTTCTCATTCTTTCTTTGTAATTGAACTTCTATTACCCAGGCCATTCAGGGGCAGGGGGAAGCTGTATTTCTCAGACTCCCCTGAAACTAAGTTAGCCACATGGCTAAATTCTAGCCAATGGAGTGTGAACAAAAGTACTCTCATTTTAGGAGGTGTTTTCAAATGTAAGTGATACCTTCTCCTTTACTGTCCTTCTTTCTTCTGGCTAGAATGCAGACATAATGGCTGGAACTTGAGCAACCATTTTGGATCCTGGAGGTGGAAGCCACACACTGAGACTGTGGAACCCAAGGTAGAAGCAGTCTGGATTCCTGGTAGCTTCGTATAGCTATTTCAGAGAGAAATAAACTTCTGTCTTGTTAAAGCCACTGACATTTTGAGTTTCCTGTTACAGCTGAATTGAGTATTAATAAATGCACTATCCGGAGCCTATTTTCTAATTAGGTCCTTCTTTTTCTTGATTTTCATAAGTTTTTTGTAATTTAAGAAAACTACCCTATGGCTATTATGTGTGTTGCATATGTTTTATCAGCTTTTCATTTCAGTTTTGCAATGGCATTTTTCTATTGTTTGTTTATTCAATTAATTAAGCATAAGTTTTTATTTATAGAATTTTTGTCCCTTTTTAATATACATGAGTGTATGGATACATTTACTTTTCACATTCTCTCTGTTTGAAAAATTTACATTCTTGAGATACAGGGGGGAAATGGTCTTTTTGAATTTTCTGGCCATTTCTGGTATTCTCGACTGTCAGGTATATCAGAATTGCTGGGAAACAAGCAGACTGGGAGCACAGGGGTGTGAAGGAACATAGGAAAAGAAAGAACAGAAGCCATCTGGGAAAATTCTTTGACTCTTTTTCCAACCTCAATCATGTCAGGAAATCTAAACATCCAAGAGAAGAAAATGGGAATTGTTATCTTGTCAGGCACAAGACATCTTTAAAGCAATTTAAAATTAAAGTTTAAATGTTATAGTGTAATTTAAAACTTCAGCACTGAGTGTTATCTCTGAATGTAACAACATATAAGCTTCTTTGGTGAAAGGGCTAGAATTTTATTTTATGTAAATGTCATAAAATCTATTCATTCACTCCAGTACTGTGGATATTCAAGTGGACTATAAGAAACCATATTATCAAAAAGAGAAACATCTATTTTTAACATCTAGTACAGTCTATGTGCTTTTCTTCTCCAGTTTCACAGAGATTTGTTGAGCCCTTACTGTCTTTATGAAATAGCTCTGGATATGAATAAGCCTGAGGCTGTGTCTTCTTTGGGTGATGTGATAAGGTGGTGGCCAGGCATGAGGGGAGAAGAATCATGGATCAAGAGTTGGATCCCTTTGCACCACTTAACAAGCTGTGCAGTGTGGAGCAGTGCTTGCCACTCTTGTGATCCCTGATTCTTTGACTATAAAATGAGGAATAGTAGTACCTTCCCATTGAGTGGCTATGAGAATTGAGATAATGCCTCTAAAGCTAAACTTAGCACAGTGCCTGACATTTATGTTCATACATGTTAGTTCAAAATTTGGAATTTATTATCACTTGAGAAGAGTAGGAAGAGGTGAAGGGGAGCTACTGTATGTTATTCATTTTTTGGTATATTATTTCATTCAGTCCTTGTGATAGCTCCATGAAGGATTATTCTTCATATATAATGGATAAGATGCAGGCTCACACAGGTTAAGAAACATGTCTTAGATCACATAGTGAGTACATGGCAGACTCAAGTTTGGAACCTGAGGCCTCTTCAGCTTCAAAGCCTGAATTCTTTCCAGTGCACTGTGCTACTTTTCATTGTGACATAATCCATGTATATGTGAAATAATCAAATATAAAATATAAAACCAAAATCATGAAATAATAGCATGAGTGATTTGTTTATTCATTCATCAGTTGGAAATCTTATTTCCAGATATTCTTCTAAGTGCTAGGAATACAAAATCATGATTCCATTACCCTAGGTGCTTATAGTTTTCTGGGGAGATGAATGAATACAAGTGAAAATAGAAAAATAAATGTTCACAAAGGAATGCCAACATGTGATTGAATGTAGCAGCTCACTGCAGTTGGGGATGTGTGTGGCAGTGATCTGAAAAGGGCTTACAAGGAGGGGAACCTGGCAGAGTGTGAAAGGTAGAGAAGGCACACTCATCCCACAAAGGATAGAGTTATATACTAGACAGTGAACAGACCGGAGGCAGGTGTGAGCTATGGAACATCTTATTTCCTGACTCACAAGTCCACGTAAAGTAAAGTGAAATGAAGTGAAAGTCGCTCACTGATGTCCAGCTCTTTGCGACCCTATGGACTATACAGTCCATAGAATTCTCTAGGCCAGAATACTGGAGTGGGTAGCCTATCCCTTCTCCAGCAGATCTTCCTGACCCAGGAATCAAACTGGGGTCTCCTGCAATGCAGGTGGATTCCTTACCAATTGAGCTATCAGGGAAGCCCCAAGCCTATGTAATAATCTGCAAGTCCACGTAAGCAGATTATAGAGTACAAGTGAGGAAATGCTAGATGAGGCTGGGTAGGGCACCAATGTGCCTGTGAACCAGGCTGCAAACAACTGCAGGGTCACATGGCAAAGAGCATACTTATAAGGAAGGCATAATCCAATTAATCTACCACATTAAGCAAGTTGTTGAGGCTGAAACTGAACCAGACTGACTTAAGAACGCTGGCTTTTGAACGAATGTGAAATGTCTGCTTGAGGAGTAAATTGTTGTGATGTGAATCGAGTGGGTTATTAGTATCTTCTGCCTCTCTTTTCTGATTTGTTTCTCCCTTTTTATGATTGCCCTTCCTTTTTTTTTTTTCTTTGTGTAACTGATTTTTTTTTCCTTTATAAGATTTTTTTTTCATTTATTTTTTTTAGTTGGAGGCTAATTCCTTTACAATATTGCAGTGGTTTTTGTCATACATTGACATGAATTAGCCATGGATTTACATGTATTCCCCATCCGGATCCCCCCTCCCACCTCCCTCTCCGCCCGATCCCTCTGGGTCTTCCTAGTGCACCAGGTCTGAGCGCTTGTCTCATGCATCCAACCTGTTGCCCTTCCTTTTTAACCTCTAGGTGTCTAAACTCCTCAGATTGTGTTCCCTCTCTCCGGAGACTCTTTTACAGGGCCCTGCTGACTCACATATCCCCACCTATCCTATATTGTTAGTGACGAAACTCGTCTGTACTAAGGTTTTAATGACTTATGGAGGGAGGAATGTGTAAAATATTTCTACAGGTTTGGTATTGGTAACTCAAAGTTATAATTGAGGACTTCAAGGAATAAATGTTTAATGATATGCTGCTGCTGCTAAGTCGCTTCAGTCGTGTCCGACTCTGTGCGACCCCATAGACGGCAGCCCACCAGGCTCCCACATCTCTGGGATTCTTCAGGCAAGAACACTGGAGTGGGTTGCCATTTCCTTCTCCAATGCTTGAAAGTGAAAAGTGAAAGTGAAGTCGCCTGTAGCCTACCAGGCTCCTCCGTCCATGGGATTTTCCAGGCAAGAGTACTGGTGTGGGTTGCCAGTGCCTTCTCCAATGATGTGCTAGCAGGGGTGTGTGTGTATGTGTATATATATATATGTATACATATATGCATATAGCAAGTATATGTGTGTGGCTATATTTATCAGGTATATGTATATGTGTGTGTGGTTGAATGAATAGACAGACAGATATCTGAGGTGCATAACTAAGCTTTCCCCATGAGAAAACTATACACGTAATTATTGTCAACTCTGTCTGACTGTATAAACTGTAGTATCCTATGAGGCCTAATGCCAGAAGTGGAAAATAGGTAAAATTTGGTTAACTAACTTGAAGCATTTAGAAGGAAGAAAATTCTATGTTCTGATTACCAAGACTCTAGTGATAAGAATGTATTAGGAGCTAAAGTAGAAATGGCAAGGGAACCTCTTCATAAGGCCCTCTTGTGGGTACTTTGATTCCTTCATCAGTTTATGTAGAGCTGCATACTCTACTTAAAATCAGTCAATAATTTACAGAGCTTAAAACATCATCATGGAGGTCGAAGTAATAAAAAATGTATCAGAGAATTTAATTGAATGTAGCCACATCATCTAAACTATGGCTAATTTTATTATCTATTTGGCTTTTTAAAAGAATCATCTGCAGTATGTATTCCTTCCCCTTAAGAATAGCTCATCTTTATCCTCTCAAAATCTGAAGAATTATGTTTAGGAACTCTGATTTCTGGGTAAATGGTATTCACAAAAGTTAGGTGTTAACCTTATGCCATACATCATCATGGGTTGGAATCATGGTGGACTTGTAGAACTTCAGAGCTAGAAAGAGTCCTGTTGTTCAGTTACCAAGTCATAGCCAACTCGTTGCAACCCCATGAATTGCAGCACTCCTGGCTTCCCTGTCCTTCACTGTCTCCTGGAGCAGGCTCAGACTCATGTCCATTGAGTGAGTGATGCCATCCAACCATCTCATCCTCTCTTGCCCCCTTCTCCTGTCCTCAGTCTTTCCCAGCATTTGGATTTCTTCCAGTGAGTCAGCTCTTCGCACCAGGTGGCCAAAGTATTGGAGCTTCAGCTTTAGCATCAGTCCTTCCAGTGAATATTCAGGGTTGATTTCCTTTAAGATTGACTGATTTGATCTCCTTGCAGTCTAAGGAACTCTTAAAAGTCTTCTCCTGCACCACAGTTCAAAAGCATCGATTCTTTGACGCTAAGCCTTCTTTATGGTCCAACTCTCACATCCACACATGACTACTCTGGACTTTTGTCAGCAAAGTGATGTCCCTCTTTTTTAATACTTTGTCTAGGTTTGTCATAGCTTTTCTTCCAAGGAGCAAGCGTCTTTTAATTTCATGGCTGCAGTCACCATCCGTAATGATTTTGGAGCCTAAGAAAATAAAATCTGTCACTGTTTCCACTTTTTCCCCCATCTATTTTCCATGAAGTGATGGGACCAGATGCCATGATCTTTAGTTTTTTGGATGTTGCATTTTAAGTCAGCTCTCTCCCCTTTCACTCTCATCAAGAGGCTCTTTAGTTCCTCTTCACTTTCTGCCATTAGAGTGGTATCATCTGCTCTTCATTTTTTAGGCAAAGGAAGTGAGACCTAGGAGTACTAATTCACTCACCTAAATGACACAGCTGAATTGTAACAGAACTGGGAGGGAAAAATATAGTCTTCTGATCTCTAGTCCAATACTCCTTTCACCATACTATTTGCCTGGCATAATCTCCTTGCTTACTAAATTACATCACTCCTCATTTTTTATACTACTAGATTCTGGAAGACTTAACTTTATCATAAATGCTACGCAGGAGACAGATGGCTTAGAGACAGTCATTGTTTCAGAAGCCTTGGTCTGCAAAGTGACTTTGCTATATAGACAGTTTAGTCATTATCTTATTATTACACTAGTGCTGTATTTATTTTTGTTGTTAAAAAACACCCTTAGAAAATGGAGATATTGAAGTCTTGAAAAATGGTTAATGGACATGTCTAATTACTATATTTCACAAGATTTTTAAAATACAGAAATTTAGTAGACACATTTTGTATTGTGAATATATATTTAACTGATGGACTATAACAACTCAAATAGAATCATTTACAGCTTATTAAGTAAATAAAAGTGCCTCCATAAAGATTCACATGACACCTAGCTTTTATTTCAGGGAACTAATTTTTTTTTTAATTGCATAAATTTTGATTTACATGAGAGACTATGAGAACACCTCAGCAGTTTAAAACGTAGCTTAAATGACCACAGATTTAAAATATAATATCAGATAGTAAATATTAACTTTTAATGGTCTCTGATAAAAAGTTACTTAACTGTCTCTTACTCTCTGTGTTATATTAAAAGTGTTATGATATATTTCTGAATATTATTTACAACATATTTACATGTTATTTTAACATCATATTTTCAAATCAAGATCTCACCAGAATTTTTGCTGGTTTGTTTTTAAGCTATTAAGTGACTTAAAATCAAATTTTATTGTATTTCATGGAAAAGATTATTTTCTAGTGGTGCATGTAGTATAGCAAATGACCTCAATAACAGAAAAAAACAATTATTTTCGTTTACACAAAAGTAAGTCTGTTTACTTGATGGAGGGTTTGTCTTTTGAGGGGTGCAAATCTTCAAAGAAATCTCTTCTTTTTTTTTCCCATTTAAAAAAATCTTAATTGGAGGATAATTGCTTTACAATATTGTGTTGGTTTTTGCCATACCACAGCATGAATCAGCCATAAATATATATATATGTCCCCCCCATCTTGAACCTCCTCCAACTCTCAGCCCGCCCCACCCCTCTAGGTTGTTACAGAGCACCAGATAGAGATGCAGACCTAGAGGACTTGTGGATACAGCGGGGGAAGGAGAGGGTGAGGCAAGTGGAGAGAGTAGTCTTGAAATGTAAGCATTACCATGTGTAAGATAGATAGCCAGTGGGAATTAGCTGTATGATACAGAAATCTCTTCTTTTTAATGTTGTTTCCCATGTTTAGGATATATTATTTCTTTAGTGTTTCAAATCAGAATCTCAGGTACGCAAAAAGTGTACCTGGTTTGAAATACCAAAGACATACTCAATACCCCATTTCAAGGTTATTTGGTCAAAAAATTTATATTAGAAATAAAAAATGCTTTCAGGCAACATGATGGAAAATAGACATATGAAAAAGCAAGATGAGAAAAAGAAGAAGAGGCGCCCCTTTGTAGAGTTTAAGATCCGCTGAATGTATTAAAGGGAAGTAAGCAGTTAAAGACCTTTCCTAAAGGATAACCTTCCTCGTGTGTAATGTGTTAGGTCGATGGACTCATAAGAACAGAAAAGGAAATTTCAAGTACAGAATATGGATTTGAGTAAGATATATCTAACAGGAGTGGTTGGTCAGTTTGGCACAGTTACCTTTCTCTAGTCTAAAAGCATCAAGGAGGAGATTTTTCTCAGAGAGTAGCTGAGCTTCCTTGGTCTGATTCTGCACATATACAGTTTTCTTAAACCAGAACTTGAAGTATAAAGATGTAACAACAAACTTGTGAAGGCTTGCCTACCAATACTCTTTTATCATAATAAATAGTATGATTGCTCTGAGTTTTATTATGAAGAGAATCAGCCCCACCATCTCCTGTTCTTCCATTGTCCCTCTTACCTCCAGGTCTGGCAGAATCAGTTAGCAGATGGCATTGTAGTCTTTACAGCAGCAAAATTGATCAAGTAATAATGCTGCCAATTCAGGCACAGGGCTAAAAAAAAAATCACCAAAGATGGTTCTAGCAGCAGGAAAAGTGCAGGAATCTATACCTCCAGCCTCTGATGTAATGAGATGCCTCTATTCTGGTTCTGAACTGATCTGGTCACCCATTAAGGTTGTGCAAGTGAAATCTCATCAGCGCTTCTAAGCAGGGTCAACATATGACCTTGGGAGTTCTTTTCTTTCAACAAGGATAAGCTAAATCCTCTCCTTCATAAAGCCATTTGAGTGGCCATTTTAGGTGTTTTTTTTTTTTTCTTTTTAACTTCCAGCAGAAAAAGAGATGATTTCCGTCAGCTGTAGGCTTGCAGTGGAGAATCAAGAAATCAAAAGAACGGAGATCAAAGAAAATTGCTGAACTAGGTGTTAGATGCAGCCATTGATTTTTCTCCAGTTGTAGTTTTAAAAAAAATCCACAAAAATGGTAACGCATACAACAGTTGAATTTCTAATATGTTTCTGAAGCCAGAGATTGCTTCCTTCACAGTTTCACATGTAGAAACGGTTTTGTATAACATGACATAATAAAGCAGATCCTTAGCGTTCACGCTATTTTGTTGTCAAAACCTTAAGAGAATCTACCAAAAAGATGTCTTGTTATTAAAACCTCTGCAATATAAATGTATCTTTTAATAGAGACACTTAGGACTAGACTTATTATCTCAGCAACATTTATTTACTGGGAATCTGGAAAATTCTGACATACAATTGATTACTATTTTTCTCCTATCTATAAATGCCATAAAGTAACACCTATCTGCTTTACTGGTAAGACTTCATTTATGTTAAGGGTTAACTACTGTTTACTGCTGTTACTTAAGACTTAAATGTATAGCTTCAACAAAATATTAATTATATTTTTAAGTATTTCATGAGTGTGTGGGTTTCTTAAGTTTGATTTCCAACAGTTTCTGGGTAGCAGTAATGTTTTAAAATACATGACAAACTGTTTTCATGTTGCATTCCTATATCTTGATATATGATTTACAAATGCTTATAATAGAACAGTCATCATTAAAACAGGGTGGTGGCAGTATTATTAAAGGTAAAGACAAATAGTTCATTTCATTGGCATTTTATATGTTGGTATGCTATTTTCTATAGGGTGCAAGGATTGACTTGTTTTTCTTTGTGCTGTATTGTTCAAGTAAATAAGTCAGGCTGATAAACTTAAAAACATAAATATTCATAGCTCATTTTCTAAGCAGTCTAATCTCCCAATTATATAGCATATAGAGGGCTTCCCAGGTGACTTAGTGGTAAAGAATCTGCCTGCCAATGCAGGAGAAGCAGGTTCGATTCCTGGATCAGGAAGATCCCCTGGAGGAAGAAATAGCAACCCACTTTAGTATTCTTGCCTGGAAAATCCCATGGACAGAGGAGCCTGGTGGGCTACAGTCTAGAGGGTCGCAGAGAGTCAGACACGACTGAACGACTGAGCACACACACACATGTAGCATAATAAAATAAACATTATTATTAGAATTGGTTTCTGTAATTTGCCAGTGGATGGAATAAGAGGCAAAAATGCCTGATTGTACTGACTTTTTGATTCAATAACTTGATAAAAGTTTTATACAAAGTTTTAGTGGTTTAGCCCAATTCCTGATGTCCTGGCAAGTTTATGATGTAGAACAAATGAGGTTCAATCACAACTTGAAAAATAATTTAATATTTATGTATTATCATATAGATTATTTAAATTGCTGTTTCCACCCCATTTCATATTATGATTCTTAGTCCACTTCTCTGTTTATGGGTTTAGACTCCGTTTGAGTTTTCAATTCTGTGTTTATTGTTCTCTTCTTTTTGTATCATAGACAGGATCACGAGACCATTCAAATCTCTCCATTCCTTCAAGAGCTGCTCTTCCTGCTGACGCAATTGATGTTGGGGATTTTTTGCCATTGAAAGCTGAACTTGACACAACTTACACTTTCTTAAAGGAAACACTTATAAATCCTGCGCCCCTGGCATCATCTCACTCATCTCCAGTGACGATGTCTGCTACTGCCAAGCGACCAGCTCAGATTGGATTATGACTTTATGAAATAAAAAGCATGCAGGAAGAGTTAACAGTACAATTAAATTGTTTTGATGGGGGATTTTCTTATCAGTTGAATTTTGTTTCAGCTCAAGTAGCCGTGGGTTTTTAAAAATTGTGTGATAGCTTGATGTGTTCAGGTATCTATGTCTCCTCGAATAATGAAATAACCAACTTTCTTCCCCCTCCAAGTTTTATTTATTATCACAGTTGCTCATTTTTATGTAACATATTTTTAAATGTTAAAGAATGACACATTTTAGGTAATTTCCTTCAGACTTAAAAAAATCAATAAGCCATTTTAGTCTCTATCTATCAAAGTTGTTTCATACTTGTCTATTTTAAAGCAGGACTGCAATACTTTAATAGGATTGAGAGAGCTATTTGAAATGTATGCCAATGATTCCTGTCATTTCATGGCAGCCCTGCCATGGTTCACTGAGCCCCCTCTTCTCTCTTGTCAGCTCAACTGAAGACAAGCATTTAGTTGCAAACTTTAAGCAGGTTGTGCAAAACAGAAATGATGTGACTGCTTCTCCTCCTGCACAATAATGTCACTCCTGGTCAATGTGAGAAGGTCAGGTTGCTCCTTGTAAAGCTACATGATACCACTTGCCCATTTGAACAAGTTAAGTTAACTGCTGCATCTGGTCCCTGCAGGCATTGAAAACGCATCCTTTTTAGCAAGCCTGCTTTTGATAAGAAAGTCGAGCATGTGTGCTGGGAGGATGTCTGTGGTGCGTTTAGGCACTTTTTAAGGACAGTTCCCACACCAGTACAGCAGGTAACTTATTTAGTATAAGCTGAAAAACTTCAAGGTAATGGCTGTTTTGACCTTCAAAATAGACTCCTTTTTTGTTTGTGTGGTAGGACCCAAGAGTGACGCCCATCTTTGATGCTGACAGAATTTAAAACAAGGCCATTGCCCTGCATTTTCTGCCTTGTAGCACACAAAAGTAAAATTGTATGTCAGGCCGAGATGTCGGGGAGCTGACAAGATGCCCCAGTGACATTTCAGCTAGAAAGAGCAAGTGTCTTGCAACCAAGTGGTCAAATATCAAATAATAGGTCAAGCAAGAAGGAGCTGAGTTCTAACCACAAAGAGGTTTCTGGGAACTTACTTGACAAGCTTTTGGGTGCTTTGTGGCTTGACAAAGTGATGTTCTGTTGGGTATCGCTAGACAGACGGTTCTTTATTGCCTTCAGAAGATCAGACATTGACATTGATCAAACTCTTTAACCCTTAAAGGTTAAATCCTTGCAGTCTGCATCATAGTAAGTGAAGAACAAAAGGCTATTTGTAATACGTTATTTGTTTTTGTTTTAATCATTTAACTCCCCAGTGATATTAACTTCTGATGTGAGCTATACTTTCTGGCAGAGTTTTGATACAAAAATCCATATTTTATATTATGTTTCATTATGGAGTTTCATTAGAGATACATTAGAAAATAACAGTATGTATTATGGAATCTATATTGTCTTAACTTTACAGTGACATTTTATTCAAATATACCCAATTTTTAAGAATTTATTAATTGGCCTTGGTAAATAAAATTGGTGTACTATTTACATCTTAGCCAAATCAACCAAGTGATTTACACCATCTGAGATAACACAGCACTATTACTGTCATACTGTGTATTCTCATAGTACTGGGCCAATATAATAAGCTTTATATAAATCTTTAGAAAGCTATTTCTATGAAGTAAAATTACATCTTTAACCAAATTTCTCTTAGTTCTTTCCTTGGAGTTCTTTTTATTAACCATTCTGGGTTTTGAATATTAAAGAACATGCCCTGTGTAATGTAATATAACATGTAAGAAATTCAACTTGCAAATTTATCATAACACAGAAAATGCTGTTGTTTTTATATAGATCATAGAATAATTTCTGCATGTTTCAAAATACTTTGTTTTGCCGTTCCATATAGTAATTAAGATATTGGCAATACAGGAATCAAATACGGTTCATATGACATCATTGAGCTTCCAATTCTCACACTGTAGAAAAACAATGTCCCCTTACATCACATATATGTCTGGTATGTGTCTGTATGTTTATGTTAAATCTGTTTCCATATCCTAGTAATTAAAGGGGAAGGAGCACCTTTGTAAATTTTGCCTTGGACAGACCTTGGTCCTCTTGCCTTAATTTTACAGTCTGTTAATGGGATAACACCAGAAATAAATGTATATGTCTCTCCATTTATGTGAGTATCTGATTTTATAGATAAACTTTATATAATTAATTCTGAACTATAAATTCAAAAAGATTATTAAATCAAATCAAAGCATGTCACATTTATAACCAACTAGATGCTAAAGGCCATGGAGACTGAAGGATGAGCCTTCTGAGCAATCATTAGTATTCACTACCAAATATAGTAATTTTCATACCATATGCTTTTTTCCCCAGAAGTCAGACCCAGCAGGAGGAGAAGATTTAATGACATATCCTATGGAGATCTGAGAAACTCTAGACTGCTTCCGAGCACCTCAGTGACCAATCGCTGCATATTTGAGATCTGTGTTGTGTTGATGAGGATGGTTGCTCTATCAGCTTCTTTACTTCCTTAAGAATGATGTATAAAGTAGACTTTTCTCAGGAGGACAACTTCAAATATTTTTGGAAGGGAAGAGAATTTTTACTTTACCCTTAAGTGTGTAGATTTTCTTACCTTCTGTGATCTAGAAAAATACCTGTATCATCCATCACCATCAAAGGAATTCTTAAAGTTATTGTTTTGGAACCTAAATTATGCTTACTTATTGAGATTTTTTGCCAGCATGTTTAACATAAACATTTTAGACTGATGTAATATGAATGCAAAGAGGTGCACGAAATTGAGAGAATTGCCAGAAAGTGAAATTGAAAGTTGCTTAGTCGTGTCTGACTCTTTCTGACCCCATGGAATTCTCCAGGCAGAATACTGGAGTGGGTAGCCTTTCCCTTCTCCAGGGGATTTTCCCAACCCAGGGATTGAACCCAGGTCTCCTGCATTGCAGGTGGATTCTCTACCAGCTGAGAAACAAGGGAAGCCCAAGAATACTGGAGTGGGTAGCCTATCCCTTCTCCAGCAGATCTTCCCAACCCAGGAATCAAAACAGGGTCTCCTGCATTGCAGGCGGATTCTTTACCAACTCAGCTATCAGGGAAGCCAGTTCAGAGAACTGCCAATTCAATGATTATTTAAAGACAAAGGTAAGTAGCCTCTTAAATAGGAGAATGATAACTTTACCAAATGTCTAACTTTACTTAAACTTGGCAACACTATTTATTTCACATTTATAATATCTGTTATCAAGTGCTTAATGAGAGCATTACTATTTTCATGTTACTTTATTTACCAGTTAGAGGTAACTTCCATGGCAATCCAGTGGTTAAGATTCTGCACTTCCACTGCAGGAGGTGTGAGTTTGATCCTTGGTTAGGGAACTAAGACCCCCCAGCATGTGGTGCTGCCCCCTCCCCCAAAAAAGTATATTTACAAGTTATATCTGAATTCATTCTATAGACAATACTGAACAATGGTAAATCAATCTTATTTTACTATGCACATTTTAGAGACTAGTTTTTTAATATAAAAAGTAGAAAGTAACTGATATTTGTTGAGCAACTATTCTATGCTAGCTATTATAGCAAAACTCACATATAAACCTCTTGGGTATTTCCATTACCATCTTATAGATGAATAACTGAGCATCTAAGATGTTAAGCATTTGACTACCTAAGATCATACAGAACCTAGTAATTACTAAGTCCAGAGCTATAACTCCAAAGCCTACGTTCCTTCTGCTTTGCTAGGCCTGACTTCAAGAAATAATTAGCAGTCTTTAAAGAGGACAACATTGTTTTAAAAATTTCATGACTAGTTAGGAATAATTTTCAGAAGTGTGTTTTGGTATGAAATCTAGATCATTTATCCATTGATTGGATAAAACACATCCCTCCTATGACTAGTAATGTGAAGAATAGTAACATTATCCTTACCTTTCAAAGGACCCAGCACCATTTATTTTGTTTCCCAGTGTCTCTAGCTTGGCTTAGAGACTGCACAAATGCTCTTAGGACAGACCCTCAGTTGAAAGCTATTGATGGTAAGCCAGCCTGACCAAGCTGTAACTTCCCAGTGGAAAATAACGGCATATGCTGAGTAAAGCTGATCAAGAAAGCATTAACTTGTATATCTCCTAGGATGGAGATAGAGATTTTAAAGATGTTTTTTGAACTGATGTCATAGACTGAATAATGACCCCAAAGATATCCCTGTCTAATCCTTGGAACTGTAATTTACATGGTTACAGGAACTTTGTGGGTGTGATTTAGTTAAGGATCTTGAGATGGGGAAATAATCCTGGATAAGCTGGGTGGGTCCTAAGTGCAGTCACAAATGTCCTTGTGGGAGAGGGAGGCAGAAGCTGATTTGATTACAGAGAGGAAAAGGTGATGTGATAATGGAAGCAGAGATTCAGGGAATGCACTTTTAAGGTGAAGGATGAGGCTGTGGGCTGAGGATACAGGTGCTGCTAGAAGCTAACATAGGCCAAGAAACAGACTCACCTGTCAAGGATCAAGAAAGGTAAGAGAATAAACTTGTGTTATTTTAAGCCACAGTTGTAGCCCACCAGGCTCCTCTGTCCATGGAATTCTCCAGGCAGGAATACTGGAGTGTGTAGCCATTCCCTTTTCCAGGAGATCTTCCTGACCCAGAAATCAAGCCTGGGGCTCATGCATTGCAGGAGGATTCTTTCATTAGGGAAGCCTTTTAAGCCACAAGTTTGTAGTAATTTGTTAAAGCAGTCATGGGAAACTAAAACAATCAGTAAACTTTAGTGTTTTTTGAAAAGATTCATGCATTGGTCTTTTAATATTTTCTAGCAAAAATAATTTCTTCTTTTAAATTATTCTGATCCGTTGCTTTCATAATTGAAATTCACATATTTTTAGCTTTCCATTTTATATTCCTGGCTTCTGAATACAATAGGAGAAGGCAATGGCACCCCACTCCAGTACTCTTGCCTGGAAAATCCCATGGGTGGAGCCGGGTAGGCTGCAGTCCACTGGGTGGCTAAGAGTCGGACTTGACTGAGTGACTGCACTTTCACTTTCTGAATACAATAAACAGTGATTATCTAGCTGGGACATTTAGTCACTTTTCTATTGCCATCATTTTTGATAGTTTTAAAATTAACTTGTGACTTCAGTATGTATTTTAATGTCCATAGCTTTAAAAAGGTAGCATGCTTTAAAAAGGTATGAGGGTCTGTTGTTTTAATTTGGTTCCCTTTTTGTTGGCATATTTCTATAGCTTTTTTACAAAAGAAATTCAAACTTGAAAAACTTTATGTTAATCGTAGCTTAAAATAATGATTCAGAATTTATAAATCATATCTTAAATGCAGCAGAGCATTTTTTCTTTACTGTTTACCCATGAGTTCAACATATGTCCATAGTCATTTATCCATTCTTTTTATTACAATTGAAGTGAAAGAAATTTTAATAATTTCCACACAGTGAAATCTTCAAAAAATTTTATTGTATAATATTTGAATATATTTTGTCTTCACTTTGGTGAAATCAAGTAGTTTAAAAAAATGGTACCCTTCAGTGAGAGCAACTTGAAATGATTATGTTCAGTATAATGAAACCTAAACTACTGAAGGCTTAAACCTAGAGTGTTAAATATTTCAAATACAGCAAAAACAAGCAAACAAACAAAACTACCTCTGGTTTTGTAAGGAACACATCCATCCCTCCTGGTTAAGTGAGACATCAATGTGTACATTTTACATGTTGGTGGAAGAGCTCCATCTTTTCTCATGAACCTTGGCAGTTGTGTAATGTCTCTTTTCTGGCCATGGAATGTGTTGGTTGGCACACCCAGGGCATCAGATGTCCTATGAGTTCATACCTTGGGTGCTTTCATGTTTTCTCTGAACCATCCCCTGCGTGAGCCTTCCTGGTTTGTAAGTTTTAAATCAAGCTGACTCACAAACAAGTCTTCCAGACTGTCTCTTCTGTGCAAACTAAATTTCCATTGATATCTCAGATGGAAAATTTATTCTTAATCTTTGCAGTAGTGAGATCTGATTGATATTGCATGCTGTCGATGGTAAAATATCTGGATACAGTGCTGGAGGAGGTCTCGCTCAGTCCTGTCCAACTCTTTGCGACCCTGTGGAAGGTAGCCTACCAGCCTCCGCCGTCCATGGGATTTTCCAGGCAAGCATACTGGAGTGGGCTGCCATTTCCTTCTCCAGGGGATCTTCCCAACCTAGGGATCGAACCCAGGTCTCCTGCATTGCAGACAGATGCTTTACCTCTGAGCCACCAGGGAAGCCCGGATACAGTGCTAGAAGGAGATAAATCAAAACAGAGTTCTGCCCTTTCCTCTAAATCACCTTGTGTATGGGTTTGTTAGATGGTTAGGCATAGGTTTTCAAAGCACTGACCTTAATGTTAGTCGTGCAGCAGAAGCCCCACATAGGTTTTGAAAACTACTGGGTTAATGTTATCTGAAAACAGGTTTTATTTTTGTAGTTTAATTGAGTCATGCTTCATTGTCTTTTATTGCATGTTAATACCAATGAAGTGCTGATTGTTGACAGAGTCCTCCCATCGAAGTGGCTCTGGAAATGTTGAACTGCTCTAGGAAACTATGTAAAATAAAAAGTCTTATTTAGATCTGTAGAAGATTCCGCTGACAGGTTAAGAGCTATCAGATATTCATAAATATTCACTAATGACAAGACTATAAGGGGAGCTACCTGTTCTCAACAGATTCCTTCTGTTTGGGGGTATCTATATAAGGGGGAAATCTTAAATGCAATCCAGAGTAAATGGAATCATATTGAATGCCTAGTAGAAAGTACCAAGTAAAAATAAATATGGAATATAGACTAAGATAGCTAATTTTTGCCTTTTTTCTTCCAGCAATGGGCAAAATGTATTTTTTTCTTTCATTTTTCTAAGCTTACCTCTGAACTGAAAGTGAGATGCTGTCCTAGTAAAACTGCATGGAAAGCCATAGCACCTGAACACTCCAACTCATCGTGAGTCCTTTCATGGTTCCAGAAGCACCACTTGTAATCACACTTAAGTTTTCTTCTTGGTTGGAGAGAAATAATTCCTAAGTTAATATTGTGAAGACTAGAGAGAGATTCCTATGAAGTAAAATTCACATTCACAGTCAGAATTAAAAT